AGACAGACAGACAGACAGACAGACAGACAAACAGATATAGATAGATAGATAGATAGATAGATAGATAGATAGATAGACAGACATACAGACAGATAGACAGACAGACAGATATAGATAGACAGACAGATAGATAGATAGACACAGACAGATATATAGACAGACAGACAGAGATAGATAGATAGATAGATAGATAGAAAGAAAGAAAGAAAGAAAGAATGATAGATAGATTGAAATAAATAGTCAGATGAAGAAAGAAAGAAAGATAGATAGATAGATAGATACATAGATAGATAGATAGATACATAGATACATAGATACATAGATAGATAACACAAACCAGTGCTTTCCATATAGCCAGTGTCCTCCATATGACAGCACACACACAGCAAATGTGGATTTTTTCCAGTGATTTCTTAACGTCCGAAACACTTTCACTACTCGAGACATTATTCTGTATTACTGTAAATCAACTGTCTTTTTAGATATCCCAATTAAGGTACACTATTGCACGGCTAAACGCAACAAGAATAGAGTGTAGATCTTCACCGTTGACGTTCCATCGTTCTCTCAAAGGAGCATGACCGGTGCAACAACAATATTCCTCCTCAAGGGGGAAAATATACGTTCCGCATCAATTTTGTCGTAAAATGTGAATATTTTGTACTTTACCTTTGCAATAAATGTTATTATATATCTCTCAAATAATTATGTAGTCGTTCTATGTTTTAATAGTTCAATACTATTTCTGTTCGTGACGAAATCACAGTGCCTGGATCTTCTGTACGGAGTGGGATTGAATTTAGAGACGGACCTATTCCAGTGCATGCGCTGTAATATATAAACAGACATGAATGCCGTACACGTTTGTCAGTAAGCACAATTATTATTTTGTTACATTATAAACATTTGAATGTTTATTATATAAGTTGTAAATAAGCAGAGGAAGAGTCAAGCATATCCTTTTAGTTATCCATCGAGCTGGTTTGACAGCTATGGAGGTTGAAAACTTCGTTTCCAAGACTCTTGAGCTCCTGCAAGGAGAGAGAGAAGCTGAATTAGAAGAAACACGATAAATGATACATATATATATCTATGTTCTACACTTGTTCTTCATTGGTATTTAGATAGCTATTCATTTCCATTACCCAAATGTATTCAACTATGAGGAACATAATGTTACAAAAGATTTCAGATAAATAGTGGCCATATCGATATCGGAATTATATCGTATCGACCGAAATTAAGAAATATATCGTGATATCAATTTTGGGCATATCGTCCAGCCCTAGTTTAAATATTGTTTGTATTGTCAGAGCATGACGGGAGAATTTATCTCCCAAGAATCTACAGCACAAAGGAGTGTACCTGCTGAAACTTCAGATCGCAAGCCAGCACACTGGCATGTATGGCAGACTCCTGGTAGTTTTTGAACCCAGGAAAAGTATAGGACCCTCAGTTCTGCCCAGCAACACCTTTGGACCTGGTGAGACATTCTTCTCTATTGAAGTACTTGATTTCATACAATACTGACCAATGAGCCACTTCACATTTTAACTCAAATATTATTTACTATCTTTTGTATTCTGTGTATAGGTGATATTATAGGTTTGTATCAGGCAGAGGGTCAGGGTCAGCCGTCTCAGTTGGGTTCAGGTGTGGTGACACGTGTTACTCAAGCATCACTGACGGTGGCTTTTGATGACACGCAAGATTGTATGAACTTGGACAGAGATGGACTTTACAATCTAATGAAGCTGGCAAATGATGTGACCTACAGGAGACTCTCAAGGTATGTGCGTTTATCAGTCCATACAGCTAGTATCATTAAATATTAGTTTTTTCTCAAAAAAATCTAGTCCCTAATCTAGTCGGGGTGGCATGTGAAAGGGATCTAAAATACAGCATTGTACAAAACCCTAGTACAATGGGGTCTTAAGTCTGTTTGTATTTCTTTTATTGCAGATGCACTGGAATTTAGCAACACTAGGTTAGATAATTCTCAGAAAGAGGCTGTGTCCTTTGCGATATCTCAAAAAGATGTTGCAATCATACATGGACCACCAGGAACTGGCAAAACCACTACAGTTGTTGAAGTAATCCTGCAGGCAGTAAAACAGGAACAAAAGGTGAGCAAGATATCAAACTCTTAATCTGGTTCATTAAGGTATACATTATTGATGTAGTATAGATGCAGTACTGTGGTGAACATCTAAGTAAATGTTAACAGGTCCTTTGCTGTGCTCCTTCCAATGTGGCTGTTGATAACTTGGTGGAGCGCCTGGCAAAGAGCAAGGTCAAGGTTTTAAGATTGGGTCACCCAGCCCGTCTGCTCGAGTCGATTCAGAAGCACTCGCTGGATGCGGTCCTTGCACACAGTGACAACACCAACATCATTTCTGATATTCGCAAGGACATGGACAAAACTTTTGTAAGATTTTGTTTTATCATAATTGTTTTGAGCTGCTCGTTACATTTAGGTGGAAAAAAAAGTGTTTCAGCCACACTTAAAATTGCTTTAGATGCCATTTATTTCAAAGAACAATATCACAAGCACTTTTTTTCAAATAAAACCTTTTACAAAAATGTTTTTCAATTAATATTAATAAATATATTTTTTATAACAATATAAGTATAATATACAGTATATAATATTATATGTATTGTATATATGACCTATTTACGTAAGATGCATATATCAGTTTCCACTCTATAGCTGCCAATAATGTGTCTTAAGGTCCTTGCACACTGAGTCCGAAATTTTTTTTTCATATTTGTCATCTTTAACTATCAAAATGCTTGCTACGGATGCGAAAACGCAGAAAATCGAACCTGATCTGATTTTTTTTATGACGGACGAAAGTTTCGGAGGCAGTGTGTAAACGTGATTGACACAGCGTGGGGTCGTATTTATTTTTTAACGTGCGAAAATTTCGGACTCAGTGTGCAATGACCTTTAGTAAGATGATATTTAAATGCTTAGTTTTATGATCAAAGCTCTGTAGTTTTATTTGTAGGAAGCAAAACATGCAATACAATAATGATTGAAAGATTTGATACTCACATTTAACATGATTTTTCTAAAAGTGGTATATGGATAATCAAGTAAAGCTAAGTTGCTTCAGTTCAGTAAGTGTTCGTCTTAAAATATTACCAACGATATAAAAGAAATGTAAAAATCTGTAATTTCACAGCAAAAATACATGTGTACCACAACCAGAAGTGGACCGTTTTATGATTATTTTAAAAGGTCTTTTACTTGCTAAAAAACTATGAACTATCAGTTAGAGAGAAGGCACATGTGGAAGACTGTGTTCAACAGGTTTATGAGGAAAGTTTTGAACATGTTGATAATTTAGAGACCTTATAAATGTGCATATCTAATATGACACAGAAAACTTTATAGTATTCACATATGTGTTGGGGCCTTGTTGTAATAGTCAAAATTTTAAAAATAAATAAATAAATGCATTGACAGAATGAAATGAAGAAGGCTCGAGACAAAGGCCAACGGAGCAATCTGAGACGGGAAATCAGGGAACTGCGGCGAGAGCTAAAGACCAGGGAGGAAACAGCTATCACTCAGATCCTGAAAAGATCCGATGTTATTCTAGCAACTAACACTGGTAAGGAAACCTTTCTTAGCAGTCATCAATTTTATTATGCGATAATGTTTGTTTGTTTATGCCCGATTTAAACTCAGATATGATTGATTTGTGTAATATAGGAGCCTCTGATGATGGTCCTCTCAAACATCTTCCCAATGATCATTTTGACCTGGTGGTGATAGATGAGTGTGCTCAGGCTCTAGAGAGCAGCTGTTGGATTGCTCTGCTCAAAGCACACAAGTGCATTCTGGCTGGGGATTACAAACAGCTGCCACCAACGATCAAATCACAGAGGTATGAAGGAAAAGGAATATATCTTACGGTTGTGAATTATTTGCTTTATGGTATCTATTCTTGATGAGCTCTTTCTTTTCATGATATAACTATTAATATACATGATATTTTTGGTCAGTATTTCAGATTATTAATGTTTTTTATTACATGAATTGCATGAATGTTTAGTTGAAATGTAATAAATGTTATTTATATCTTTCACAGTGCTGCATCTGAAGGCCTGTCTGTCAGCTTAATGGAGAGGCTGATAAAGAAATACGGAGACTCAGTGGTTCGAATGTTGACCACTCAGTACCGTATGAATAGTGCCATCATGCAGTGGGCTTCAGAGCAGATGTATGAGGGCAAACTAATCGCACACACTTCAGTGGAGAAATACTTGCTTAGGTATGTAATATAAAATATGTTAATCGTTTCTGAAAAACATTCCAAGTACATTGTTTGAGGGGGATTCTATAAGGTTTTTTCAACTGATTGTTTTTTTTACAGTATCACTCCAAAGTTTTGGGTAAGTTGCTATTATTCGGCAAAAATTGATCAAAATGTATCAAAACAAAGTAACAGTAGGTAGCAATATTTATAATGTTACAAAAGATTTACATTTTTATTCAAAGAATTTTTAACTTCTATTCACCAAAGAGACCTGAAAAAATGTATCACCGTTTCCACAAAAATATTCAACATTGATAATAATAAGAAAAGTTTCTTGAGCAGCAAATCAGCATATTAGAAGGATCATGTGACACTGAAGATTGGAGTAGTGGTTGCTGAAAAATCAGCTTTGCCATCACAGGAATAAATTACATTTTAAAATATATTAAAATGGAAACCTTTCCCAATATTTACTATATTTTTGATCAAATAGATGCATCCTTGGTTAGCATAAGAGACTTCTTTCAAACCCTTACCTTCCCCAAACTTTTGAATGGTAGTGTATATTTTAAGTCTGCTAGCAACCTCTATATATAGAGAAAGATACATTTGAAGATAACTGATTGCATCTTGAACAGAGACCTGGCTGGTGTTGCTGATGTTGAGGAAACCAGAATTCCTCTTCTGCTCATTGACACTGCAAGCTGTGGCCTGAATGAAATGGAGGACACAGATGAGCAGTCCAAAGGAAATCAAGGTTGATATCAGCTCCAAACACAATATTAGTGCTTAATTAAGCTATGAAATGCCTTCTGAATGTTTTTTTTTATTCGCTATTACTCCACAGGAGAGGTAGACATTGTGGCTCTTCATATAAAGGCTCTTACTGAGACTGGAGTTCAAGTCAAGGACATTGCGATTATTGCACTTTATAATCTCCAGGTGAGGTACTTTTCAAAGAACTGATGTGTAAAAGAGCACATTTTTTATATATGCCTGCAAAGCAGTGACTTCACTGCTGTTTAGTATAAATAGCAGTTATGCATTAAAAAAAAATGTGGTTTTGTCTGTTTAAGGTGGATCTTTTGAGACAGAAGCTGTCTCATAAACATGCAGAGCTGGAGATCAAGTCTGTTGATGGCTTCCAGGGCAGAGAGAAGGAGGCAGTGGTGTTGTCATTAGTCAGGTCCAACAGGAAGGGTACGCCAGAGTTTGTGCTTTTAGTAAATTCAGTTTGGCTGACTTAAAGGGATAGTTCACCCAAAAATGAAAATTTGATGTTTATCTGCTTACCCCCAGGGCATCCGAAATGTAGGTGACTTTGTTTCTTCACTAAAACACAAACAAAGATTTTTAACTCAAACTGTTGCAGTCTGTCAGTCATATAATAGAAGTGAATGGGAATCACGGCTTTGAGAGTCAAAAAAACATACACAAACAAAACCAAATTAAACCCTGAGGCTTGTGACGATACATTGATGTGTAAAGGCACGAAAGGATCAGTCTGTGCAAGAAACTGAACAGTATTTGTATCGTTTTTTTTATCGTTAGGACAATTTGGACATTGCGGTGAATCAGAGGTAAAAAATGATATAAATACTGTTCAGTTTCTTGCACAGACCAGTCGTTAGTGATGGCGAGATGTAGCCTCATGAAGCATTGAATCTTTTCAGCCAAGTGGTTCACAACAGGGTTCATTTCTCGAGACTTCATTTGCTCACAATACCACCTGGTGGCCAAAGAGTGTAAAACAAGCAGATACATTACAGATGACCTGATGTGGTCTGTGATACACTGTAGTTTGTGCCAGTTAAGGATTAGAAATAACGGTGAAGAAAAAAAATACATTCAAACACTCCTGAAATGTGTCCCTTTATAGCAGTGTTTCTCAACCCTGGTTCTGGGCGCCCCCCAACACTGCTCATTTTGTATGTCTCCCTTGTCTGACACACCCATTTCAGGTCCTGGAGTTTCTTCTAATGAGCTAATGAGTTGAATCAGGTGTGTTTGATTAGGGAGAGACAAAATGTGCAGTGTTGGGGGGTGCCCAGGACCAGGGTTGAGAAACACTGCTCTAAAGCGATACAAGCCTCGATACGTGCTTCACTGAAAGCTGCCGGGATTTCTCGACACACGCTCCGAAGCCTCGGCACAGAACGTAACATCACTACCGGTCGTTTCATGTCTTTACACATCAATGTATCGTCACGAGCCGCAGGGTTTAATTTGGTTTTGTTTGTGTATGTTTTTTTGTCTCTCAAAGCCGTGATTCCCATTCACTTCCATTATATGACTGACAGACTGCAACGGTTTGAGTTAAAAATCTTTGTTTGTGTTCTACTGAAGAAACAAAGTCACCTACATCTTGGATGCCCTGGGGGTAAGCAGATAAACATCAAATTTTCATTTTTGGGCGAACTATCCCTTTAAATATAAATTTTTGTCATCATTTATTCACCCTCATGTTATTCCAAACCTGTATGTGAACATAAGGAATTATCTCACATATACTCCAAAGGTGAGGTTGGATTTCTTGCTGAAGACAGAAGGATCAATGTGGCTGTGACTCGTGCCAGACGCCAGCTTGTGGTAGTGTGCGATTCTCAGACTGTTCGAAACCATGACTTCCTCAAATCCCTAGTGGACTATATGTCTGAACATGGAGAGGTTCGTACTGCCTTTGAGTACCTGGAAGACTGTGTGGCGCAGAATTACATCCGTGACGAAAAGGACAAACAGATCAACAGCAAAAACGCTGTGTCTACAAAACAGAAGTCCAAGAACCAAGGCAAGAAAACAGAACAAGAACAGAAGAAAAGTGCAAACAACAAAAGTAGAGGACTGAATCAGTCCAATGTTCAGCTTTACCAACATAAAAACACCAATTCACACCATCCTAAACCCAAAGATGCCGATCAGACACAAAATAAGAAAAAAGAGATAAAGGAACAACTTCTGAACTTTCTGAAAGACCCAAACAAGACAGAGCTACAGTTTCCTTCCACGCTAAATTCTCATGAGCGTATGCTGGTCCATGAGCTCTCTGAAGAAATGGGTTTAAGGCATGAAAGCCAGGGAGAAGGGAAAAACCGTCGCATCACTGTGTCCCGGCCTCCATTAGAACCGGACAAGTCAGTGGAGCACGAACAACCAGACGTGACTGCATGTACAGCAGCGAAGCTACAAGATGAGTTACAGAAAGGACCCTCAAAGTCAGCTGTGGATCTGAAAAGCCTGCATTTGGAGCGAATGTGCCGGGAGCAGGAGAAACGAGAGGAGAAAAAGCAGGAAAAACTGAACAGAGTGTGAGACGGGAACCGGATCCCAATGCAAGTAAAAGCCAGTCTGTTAAGAAACCCAAAGGAACTTCAAAACGTTTGTGTTTTATATCCCAATTTCTGAATCGTTCCAATACTTTCATTCTGTTACACTTCACCTAAAATTTGCACCTAAAATTGGCACATAATATACAGTACCTGTACATACAAAACTGTCTATTGTAATATACCTGCACATACAATTGTCGATTTATATATTTTTATTCCTTATTTACTTGTTCTATTTTTTTTATTTTTTATTATCTGTGTTTTTTGTTCTGTCACTGTCATTCTGTTACACTGTGGAAGCTTCTGTCATGAAAACAAATTCCTCGTATGTGTAAACATACCTGGCAATAAAGCTCATTCTGATTCTGATTCTGATTCTGATTCATAGTCAATATGTGTTTCTTTCATCGGAAACACCAAGATAAAAGCAGGAGCCACAGATATAGCTGCAGGTGCCATGCCAGATGACGATTTTGATGCTCTCATCAATGCTGTGGTTAAAGCCGACAGCATTTGTGGTTTTGTGAAGTGCAAAGCCAGTGTCCTGACACTAGGGCAACTCTGCCTCTACTGTAACAGACAATACTGTCTCAGTCACCATATACCTGAGGTAACTTGCTTTTTATTTTATATTACAGGAGTCATATCATGAAGAACCAAATTTTGCTTTATTTTTTTAAGTAAGTGTTCATTATAATATGAAAGTAGACTGTAGCTTTCAGAAACATGACCTTTACAGTCATGATGTAATACAGAGCACGCTGGTTAGATGCTATTATTCATAAACACCAAACACTCAGTGCTAGAATCAAGTGGCTCAAGTTCTTTTTAACAATGTTCTTGACCATTTCAAGTGCTTTTTCTCATTTCACGAGTGAAAAGGGTGTTAACATCAGAGTTTTAAAGGCTTGCTAACAAAAAATGTCAGCGTAAGGGTTGAAAATAGTCATTAAAATATATTATAAAATAATAAAAAAATTTATATGACTTTTAAAACGTGTAAAACATTTAAACTAAAGATATTTTGATGCAAGATGCGTTTGAAATAAAGTATTGTCTTTTTTTAGGTGCACGGATGTGGAGACAAGGCAAAAGCTCAAGCTAGAATGAGGATAAGTAAAGAAGGGGTGCTTTATGCAGGAAGTGGACAGAAGGACAAATCAATAGATCCAAATAAAAAAGCATATCTGCAGAGAAAACTAGTCTCTAAACTCGATGATATGGCATCTCAAAGAAAAACTAAAGCCAAAGACAGAGAACTGACATTCTAGGAGACACTAGATCAATCTGATGTTGTTTAATTTAAATGTGATGGTTATTTACTTGAAAAATATGTATAGAAAGATTTCTATGCTTTAAGTGTGGGCTTCACAAACATTTTGGTTATTATGAATTCCTGAATAAGGCTGAGAACAGCTGCTATTTATTACAGATCCACACTGGCATGGTTAAATGGCAAACAAATCACAAATACCGGCCATACTTAATACTCCCGACTGGCACTGTGACTGAAAAGTGGGTTTCTGAATGACTCTGGTTGTGCTTAAAATATCCACCCTAATGCTAGTCTGAAATCCCTGTACAAGATTTATGTCTTGCAGAATTATTGTTGGGAGCTTAAGTAGTTGCTCCACTGTGTCTCTCAGTGATTGATGCATTGATTATTATGTCATATGTAATCTCCCAGTTATCTCATAAAGCTTTGAAGAGCACAGGCAGAGCAATGCTTTGGCTTGGGTCCATTTAATGCTGGATTTAATATATTTAGTCTACATACAGCATGTGCTCATGTAGCTTGGTATATCTGTCCACAAGAGGACATAAGAGACTCAGGTGGCATTGTGAGCTCCATGGATGCAGTAAGTGGAGGATTTTCACTGTGAACACATTAGAAGGAGTACTTCAGGTGACAATGTTTCTAATAGCCACAAGTCATGTGATAAAAAAAAAAAATTATGTATAACAACTTTTGACAATTTGGTCTTTATGAAATGTTTTTTAAATTTTACCTCAAGGCACTTGGAGCTAAAAAAATATGTTAAGATTTTCTGGCAGAATGTGTCACCAAATACTAAATTAAAAACATAAATGTTCTTTTTGTGTTGGTTGGTTGATGTCTGGTTTGATCAGCTTTCCTTGTACAGTGCAAATTTTATGGTTGTGTCAAAAATAGACTTTAAAATGCTATCTAAAGGTAATTATAATTAAAGATTTGTGTATTAATTTAAGAGCATGGTCTGACTGAAACATTTGAGTTAACAGAATTGCAGTATTTGTAATACTGTAAGTACAGTAGTAGTAGTTTTCTTTGGCTGTCCCGTGTGACTTCCAAATGACTCCGGTAGATGATACTCTGCGCTTGAAATGCTTAGCCCTAAAATAGCTCTGCAATGTTCTGAATTAGGAATAACCATTTAGCTGAAGTAAATGGTTACAAAATGGAAATATCCTTAAAGGAATATGAAACATGCTGTGGGTTTGCATAGTGTTTCTCGTTTTACAAGAAGTGCTCAGCGAAATTTCAACTAAAGTGTAAACTTTTTGTGTGTGTGTGTAATGATGCATGAACATAGCATAAAAAATGAGTATAGTCTAAAAAAGTGAGTGAGTCAACAAATGTTTCAACAGATGTAATCACAATTTTAATAATAATAATAATAAAAATCCTAACAATTACAATAGGGTTTCAGCACTTCGTGCTTGAACCCCTAAATACTGGCAAAAACAGGTAAGCTTCCAAAACTCAAACATAATAATATACATACTAACATAATTTATGCTGATTTAAGTGGATAGTACAAAAATACTGTATTACAGCAATGGGAAATTAATAATAATCACCTTTAACAAATAATTGTAAATTAAAAGTCTAGATGCAAATTTACTTCATCTTTGTATTAATTAATTTATTTATTTGGCTTTCACACATTTGTTTTTTTTAGAAATTCACAGATAAATTAATGTTTTGTAGTTGTTGCATGTTCAAATTAATGTACTGTTTTGTGCCCCATGCATTAAAATGCACAGATTCTAAGTGTGCTCCCCTCCTTTATCCCAGTGGCAAAATAAGGAAAGATTCTCTCAGTAAACTTATCTTTAAATGTGTAAATACTGCCACCATCTGCAGCGTCAGAAAAGGAAACCTTTCCTTTATCATAGTCCAGTTCAACTGTGATTATCTGTGGGTGGGGGGGGGTTTCAGGGTTAGTCGTGTGCGGGGAGAGGTCTGAGCCCAGTAGGATTCCTCATTGTTTGAAATTACCCAGAAACCCTCTTTTGGGTTGAGAAAAACTGCAGTCTTCCTCTTTATTGACTCTCGTGCCACCCCAACGTACCACTCTTTGCTGTATGCCACCAATACATGCCAGCGCTGCTTTCCTGAATCGAAGCTGTTAGCAGCGAGTACTGCCATGCGGCTCGTGCAGCGTTCAGGGTTATCAGGAAGCTGCTGTTTTTTCCCATAGCTGATGGTGGTGAGTTCATCTTTGATGATCAAGTTAGGGTGTGCCGTGTTTGGATCGAAATTGACAGAGGCTGGAAAGATAACAGAAAGCAAAACCTCCTCATGATTTTGCATTATTTTAGAAGGAACTAATTATTTAACAGAAGGAACTGTAAAGAATCTGTTGTAAATTATAAATTATATTTACACATTTAAACACTGAAACACATCTTAAGATGTCAAGTTTGAATACAGGAAAATGCTAATGAGATTTGAGAGCTATGACACAAAGATATTATATTCAAAATACTTGGAAATATACTGCAAAAGTCGTATGGACTAGCCCCTGGTCCCTATAGCCTACTTTTGTAAAGAAAGGGGTAGTTTGGGGACAATTATGCTAATCACCTCATTTTATGCTACATGTGAGAAATAAAAAGTTATACTGAGTACATCATGAGTAAATGATGACAGAATTGTCATTTTTGGGTGAACTTGTGTTATAAAGGACTTGATGTACAATTGTGTACTTACAGTGGTGTACATCTCTTTCCATTCTTTTCCAGACCCCGTGCTTTAATGATCCAAGGTACTGAAGCACATCTATAAGTGCCTTTTTTGGATATTCTGTTTCAGGAGCAGTGTAGCTAGTCCTGTAATAAAATCATTATTTGTTTGATTATTTTTGTGTGAAAAGAAAAAAACTGACAAGACTGCTTAAACTAAAACTTTAAATTAAAAACCACTGTGTACAGTACCGTTTTATTGCCTCCTTACATTCCTGTAGGTAGAGAAAATGTAAAGGTATTGGCATAATTGTAATAATTTGAAACACACTTACTTTATTCCTTTCAGATACGGCCAAATAGGGAACATTACTTAAAGGTTTTGTAAATGTTTTTTTTTTTAATTAAATGCTGTGCACATAATCTTTCCTACTTATCCTAATCACTGAAGTGAAGTGTATGTTTAGTCAATCAGAAGACATTTAATGCTTTACCTGTCAATCATTTTGTGCGTACATATGCTTGTACAGCTTGGAGATGTTATGATATTATAGGATGCAAAATAGGCTATTCACGATTTCTTACATCAACAACGGCTTAGGGCTGGTCACACAGTGTCCCAGGGGTTTGCTTAAAACGTAAGATAAAGCGCTAATGAAAAAGAACAGCTCATGCGCGAGACAAAAAAACAGAAGGACACGACGCATGTTTACATCGAAAAACAGTTTAAAAACAGCACAATTAAAACGCGTTATGTGTGAACCAGCTGTTACACAGCCAAACATGATAAAGGAATACTAAGACAAAGGAAAATAAGAAGACCAATGAGTTTTTCATCAATGCAGTGAGCTAAGGTAAAGTTGCCAACGGCTAACATGGCTCACAGTAGCCTACCTTTACGTAAAAATAATGTTTTAAAAGCACATTGACCTTTAAAAATGTCAGATCATCCGCTATTATGATGGGTTCTATGTATTTGATGATGTCAGAGAGCTCTTCAATGCTCTTTTTGACCTCCTCCAGTTTCTCTCACCATCGCTGTCTTGCTCTCTCGCTCATTTTTAAGTACTACGAGTCGAGCTGCCTCCTCCTCTCTCAGGATTATATGTAACTTTTCATACTCTTGTTTTACTTCTGCAGCAATTTCGGCAGCATGTTTCTGTAAATTAGAATAAAAATGAATTGGATTTGATAATCCTGAAAGGATTCAAGTTTAAGTTGAGGAACTGTATGTGCATATAGTTCACCTGTATGTATGTTTCCAGTTCCACCAAGTTCTCCTTTAATTTTTCAAAGGTGGTTAGTTGTTTTTTCAAAGGATTGTACCTATTTGTGAGCCCTTTCTGTGGGGTATGTGTATGGAAAGGGCATTTATATACAAATCCCAGAGAACTTTGACAAGTTGTACAGATACACACTCTAGTTTATATTCACATAGATATCTGCTCATATCTAACTACAAATCACATAAGACTCATTTTCATACAGGTTAACATATGTTTCCTTACCATTATGTCTGATGCTGCCTCAGCTATCGGGCAGTACTCATGATTTTTGTGACTCCTTGATGACGTGCAAGCAATGCAGATAAGTTCTGCATCTTTCCGACAAAAAAGCTTCAATTGCTCGTTGTGTCTTGAGCAACGTTCCACCGTTTTTGCCATGAACTGCTCCGGCTTCTTTTTGAAGACATCCGAGGCTAACTTTAGAGCCATATTGACTGGAGGCCTGGATGAGCGCTCTGTACGGCGGCACAGAGGACATTGCCGTGTTCCCATACGGTCCCAGTGTGTCTGAATGCAGGTTTTGCAGAAGCTATGTTTGCAACTCAGTATGACGGGGATATTGAAAACCTCACAGCACACAGGACACTGTAGATCCTCCATTGAGAAAGAACATTCTTGAGCCATCGGTGCTGAATTTGCAAATCCAAAAGTCTTTCTCAGGTGTTTAGAAAACTTGCAAGCTGAAAGTAAAGTGCAGTGCGACTGGGATAGACAGGTTTGACCTGATTTGTAAACTTTTAGACTCCTCTAAAACATGTCAGAAATGTCACTGTGTTACTCTGAGGAGGACATGTATTTTCATGGCTAATTAGCTTGGGACTTTTGTTCATGATGAGTCATGCCATGGTTTAATTAAAAAGACATACTTCATCAGAAAACAAGCTGCAAAAATGTCTTTTATTGAGTATTTACTAGAAAAAGTCCATTGAATATATATTTATATACAGGACTTCTCTTAATTAAACAATGCGTTCAGTCTCATTTTCAGAAGATTCTGCGGCATAAACATGCAAGTATTGAGAGGGACAAATGTGGAGAGGTAGTTATGACCTGCTGTCAACCAGGATGTGAACCAGCTTAATACAGTGTGCAGTTAGTAAACAGGGAGATTAGCTTAGAATAGAAGGACAAAGTTACTATAAAAATGAAAGTAAGGTAAAAGATAAATAAATAAGCAGCATTTTTACATATTGCTCCCATATATTAATAAGTTCAACAATTAGAGATCTCCATGTCATGTTGTTTTATTATTTATTTCTAAGAATAAGCCTGATCACATCCAGCATTAAACATTGCGAACTCTTACATTGCAAATGCTTATGCTTGTGGTGAGAGCTATAACAAAATGTATTATATTTTATAAAAATGTCTTTGGATGTGTTTAATTTGTATTTTATTATTTAGTTATGGAATAATTAAAGTGGCAAAAAGAAGATCCACTGATAAAAGTAGGAGTCAGAAGAAACATGCACAAGACCTCAGATTATATCTGAAGTCCTTACAAAGTAAAATGAGAAATAAATTTAGCAGTTATAAAAAGTTTAGAGAATTGTTAGTCATTAACAAAATATGAATATTCATCAGATGATCAAAGATGATGATTAAAAAATATATGAAAATCTATCATCAATTGATCATACATATGGCAATTTGATTATTTATTTTTGACTGAAAAATGAAATGAAAGTGCCCACAAAGAAATAAAGATAAAATCTTTGGGCTATTCTGATTAAACATACTCAAATACTTTAGTGCTATACATGTTGGAAAAAGGTATTTTTGTTGCATATGCACATTTGTGAATCTCTGAAGATTTTAAGAAAATAAAGGAGATGAGTCATAAGGTTTTAAAGCTGATATCAGCAAACTATACTTCTAAATGCACATACTATAAATGAAAAAAGAAATTATTTTTCACATTTTTTGTAAATTCAACAAAAGAAATGAATTCAGCTGTTATCAGAAACGTAGTAATGTGTGGCTGTACTGTATAAGATTCTTATTAAAATACATAAATAATTGTCATATAAATAATTAACAAAATGCATAATTGGTCAAGTTAATAAGTTGAACACATGCCCCTGTTACTTCAGAATATTACAGTTCACTAACAGGAGGCAGTTAAGAGACATTTGAGTTTACTACAAGCTCAAAACAAACCTCAAACAAACTCAAACAGAACAGCATCTCTCAACATATCTTATACCGCTGACAGAGAACAACTTTATCTTTTTAAAATTACATTGATTGTAGCATTCATGAATTATTTACACAATCTAAAGAAATTGATTAGGGCTTGAAACTTGATTGAAAATCACTTAGAAAGTTATAAATGATTTAAATATACATGTTCTGTTCAGCTGTGATAATAGAACAATAATGTCCATTAGGAAACCATGTGATATGTAAAGCTCTCACCTTGTTGATGAATATCCTCACTGACAGGATAGCAATGCTGCATGGTCCAATCAAAGGCTGTTTTTCTGTCTTAAACCAATGCAGTATAATAAAGTCAGTTCAGTGTAATATCTGTTGTCTTTCATGACGTCTCTGTGTTTAACTATTAATCCATGTCCTGTCATTTCCACATTATTCCCAGTTGCCATAAAGACAGGATGGAAATACCGGAAACCATCCTTTTGTCCAGTTAGAAAGCTTCCTGAAAGAAGGCCCTGGAACTTCTGCTCCCAGATGGGTCACTGTGATGGGATTCTGCCATTTTGTCCAAGGCAGGAGTGCAAATCTCATACAAAACCCAGCTTCACTGAAGAACGATGGCATTTTGGGCAGCCCTTTGTGCCATTTGTCTGCAGACACCTGCATGTGTGAAAAGAACATAGTGAGCGACATAGATAGCTGGTGGCTACAGAGAGTAATAAACACACAAATACATACTTGAGGTGGAAAATGTGAGAGCAGGGCAAAGCCTGCAGCTGCTGGTTCCTCTCTCCGATAGACTCCCCACACATGCCACAGTAGAGCTCTAGCTCTTCCACACACTGCAGGAACTTCACCACCTGCTCTCTCAACTCATCCTGCTGCTCCTTACAGCGGTAGATGCCTTCACACAGACTGTGCACCTTCAGGATACACAGCTGGAAGAGAAGTGCACAGAGAGAGTCAAATACAACGCTAATGCTAATACTATTAGAGAACATCTTCTGATGTCATTAAAGCTCCACTGCTTAAGAAGCAGTGTTGAAAATGAGATGTTTGTCTCTTATTCTAAAACAGATGCATCACCTTGTTTCCAATCGCCTCGGCCAGATCATGCGCTCTTTGCAATGAGTCCAAAGCCTGTGACAGTATTCAAATTAAAAAGAAATAATAAATAAACCAATGCCATTTAATATATGTGACCTTGGACCACAAAACCAGTCATAAGGGTCAATTGTTCAAAATTGAGATTTATACATCATCTGAAAGCTGAATAAATAAGCTTTCCATTGATGTATGGTTTGTTAGGATAGACAATATTTGGTCGAGATACAACTATTTAAAAATCTGGAATCTGAGGGTGCAAAAAAATTGCCTTTAAAGTTGTCCAAATGTCTTCATAGAACATGATCTTTACTTAATATCCTAATGATTTTTGGCATAAAAGAAAAATTGATCATTTTGACCCATACAATGTTTTTTTTGGCTATTGCTAAAAATATACCCAAGCGACTAAAGACTGGTTTTGTGGTCCAGGGTCACATATAAAATGTGTTGATCACAAATGTACAACTAGACAATAAAGGAAATAAAGTTTTCAAAAGGGGCTTTCATTGCAATGCAAAAGATGAACCATTGTGGGTTCCCCAAAGAACATTTCTGTGAATAGTTCTTAAAACAGCCATTTTCTTTTTCTTAGTGTGAAGAATATATTTATTGTTTAATAGAAACGTTCAATGGGTGTTAAAGCTTCTTCATTGAACGATAGATGCCAATAAATAATCTTTATTTTTAGGGAAACTACACAATCAAATCAGTTTCCTGACCTTATCGTATTCCTTCTGCAGAATCCAGCACTTCCCCACACCTACGTAGATGGATGCTTGTCCAAGGCGGTTGCCGATCTCTGACATTATGCACATGGAGGACTCGTAGCGAGGGAATGCTTTCTGTATTAAAGGTGAGCACACAAAGAAAATAATTATTGCTATAAGCAACACTTATGACACTCTTGGTTGACTATTTTGCAATAGAACTCCATAATTAATCGAAAAATAATCTTGGTTATGGTTGTTGCAATTAATTTTGAAGTGTGTTGAGTACATAATGCATATTTTGTTTTTGCATCATTGAACATTGGAGCTAATTACAGACAGCTTGTTTCAAATGTGTAATAAGAAATAATTGAGAATTATGAGTTTGGTCATAACTGTGAAGCACTATTCTGCAATACTGTGTAAGTGAAACAGTGAAAACAATTGTACAACAGTTATGTGCTAAATGCACTAGTAATAGCAATACACTGAAAAAAAGCAGTAGAACTTACATCAACATCTTTCTGACAGCGATGAATATCAGCAAAGTTAAGCAGACACAATGCCTGAAGGGGCCGATCTCCATGCTGCAGTGCAATCTTCATTGATTCCTGAGAGACATAAGATCATTTCCAATATTAAGGAAACATGTATACGTGTTGTCCTGTCCTCCACAGCAAACATTTCTTTTAAATTGTAATAAAATGTCACAATATTACTGTATTTTAAAAAAAATAATTGCAGCCTTAATGAGAATAAGAGGGTACTTAAAAAAAATATATTAAAAAAATCATAATTATTCCAAAAATTTTGACCGGTAGTGTATGAACCAACAACCCCCATTCATACAATATTCAAAACTGAGAAGTTGCGCAACAGCTGGAACATGGCCTGCATTAATCCCCGCTGTTAGACGTCTGTATATCACACTTGCAGACAGCACATTGTGATGCTCACAGTCCAAAGTAATGACTGGCTGTGATATTTCTCTCCTCGTCATTAGCAAGGAGCTAAGGGTAAGCTCTGCTCTCCATTAACACTCCTCTCAGACGTCACCTCAGCAGGATGGACTCCGGACTGGCGTATTTTTATCAGCCATAGTAAAGGGGGCTGGCACAACTAGTCCTACAAATAACTGCACCTGTCAGTTGTGCCGTGGCCCGAGCAGCAGACAGAGGCCAGGGTTACACCAAGGGGACTGATAAATATGATCAACATGCGGCATCCTGGGGGATTAAGGTGATGCTGCCTTAAATTTGTCCAGCTGACCATTGACACAAGCTGTTTCCACATAAAGATTGCCTTATTTGTTTTTGGTGCACCTACTTTAGTCATTTAAAAATGGTTGATGTATCATAATTAGATGCTTGTACCTCACAGCATTCCATTGCATCTGCTAAGCGCAGCAACTTCCTGTAGGCCACTGACATATGGTACTGGCTCATGGCACGGTACTTGAGACTCCAACCCTTACCATAGTCATTCACGAGCTCCGCTGCTTTGCAAGGAAAGAAGAGTGCTTTCTCATAATCCTGCAACAGCGCAAAATATGCAGATATGGACACTTATTAGAAGCATAAAACAAGCTGCACATAAAGCATAGGAACTTGTATTATGTATGGTCTTTAAAGAATGTTGATACAAAACAGCAACCAAATATTAGAAAAAAATTCCACAAATTACTCCACAAAGTCTGACTGATGCATTTACTGGTATGATATTTCAAGTCAAAGCATAGATTTGTAATTTAAACAATTACAATTAACTACATATGAATATGAAAAAGTATGTACAGTAAATGAGAATGCTCAAAGAAACCAACCACTCAAAGTTGATAATTTCCCCTGTGGCAGGGAGATTTAGCTCTGCTACAGCTAAAAGAGGCTGTCTTATTATTGCCCCTAGTAGTGCTGACATTCTCCGCATGCCTCTCCATCACATACTTATTACAGCAGTCCTTCCAGGGGATTTGCTCTCTTCAAATCTCTGGTGTCAAGGTGAGTACAAATGCCTATATCTAGCCATTGAATACATTGTACATAACATGTAGGCAGTTTGTTAGTCATGTAAACACTGCTTTACTCTGTCACTTACATAGAACTTAAAATGACTGCAGGCCAAAGGAACATTAAACAAATACTTTGTATACAGTATACAATGACTTTGACGATACTTTGTGTTTACTTCAGTAAATATATACACTACAGTTCAAAAGTTTGGGGTCTGAAAGCTTTTTTTTTGATGAATACTTTTATTTAGCAAGGATGCATTAAATTGATCAAAAGTCACAGTAAAGGCTTTTACATTGTTTCAAATGATTTCTATTTCAAATAAATGCTGTTCTTTTAAACTTTGTTCATCAAAATCAACAAAATCACCGTGAAATTTTCAACAGTGATCACTACATCAGAATGGTTTCTGAAGGATCATGTGACACTGAAGACTGGAGTAATGGCTGCTGAAAATTCAGCTTTGCCATCACAGGAATAAATTACGTTTTACAATATATTGAAACAGAAAGCAGTTGACGAGAAACCTTTTGAACAAATAAATGCAGCCATGACATTTTAGAAAGAGACTTCTTTCTAAAACATGCAAAAAATCTTACCAACCCCAGACTTTTGAACGGTAGTACCAGCATACTGCTAAATCTCATGATCTTAAAAACTGATATAAAAAAACTTTAAAACTATTTATTTATATGAATTTAGTTTTCATTTATGAGTTGATAGTGAAGGAAAAGTAGCCAACAAGTGCCCAGCATACTTGTGATCTCCTTCAATACTGTTTAAAAAGCATCCTAAAATGCACCTAATGAATTTGTGTACAGAGATGTAATCCAGACAGAGTTGTGACAGATTTTAAAGAAACTTAAGTATAAGATTTGTAATGTTATTTCTATGGTGTGATGACTTGAGTAGGTGTGCCACAAGCAAAAAAAAAAAAGAAGTGGTAGCAAGCCCAAATGACATGTGTATGTATTGTTTCTCAAACTTAAGTAGGTTTTAATAGCCATACCTTAAGCTGGATGTAGAAGTTGCCCAAACTACAACAGACCCGGCACTCCAGCATCTTGTCATCATTGTTGTGAGCGTATCGCAGGGCCTTCTCATAGCTCACTAAGGCCTTTTGGAAAATGCTAAGGCCCAGATAGGCATTGCCCATGCTCAAACACACTTGCCCGTTGAGCTGTAGGCTTACGGTGGTGCCCTGCATGTTTAAGCAGGTCTCACAATATGAGACCGTCTTCTGGAATTCACAAAGCTTCTCATTGCTGCGTGCCAGGTTCAGGTAGCCCTCCGTCAGGTAGTCCGGATCCTCCATCTCTCTGGCTGTGTTTATCTGAGCTAGGGAGTACTAATGGATGGTTGCATATACATGGGGGCAGAAAACAATAGAAATTAGTTAATTGATAAAACTATTTCAGAGAAATCTAAAACTACATATAGTTAGCATTCAACTGGTGTTCCCCATCTTGTTGCAACCTGATATAATGCTATACAAGACAAAGGACTACTGTTAAAATTGTCCTCATACCACAATAGATATCAAGCATACTTTATTATTATCATGTGAGAGCTACAGTTGTTTAAACACATCATAGTGCAAATGAAGTCTTTGCTGAACTCGGGAAAGCAGGTCCCTCTGCAAGGAGGTTTATGTCAACAAGATGCTCGGTGCTGAGGATCATATTGCATGGGGCTCTCCTTACCATCCATGTAACTATATGGACGTTACATATTATATGCATGTTCCGCATTATTCAAATTGGTATATATTTCAGTATGTCAGAAATCTTCGTCACTGAGGTTACAGACAAATTAGTGCACATCATATGCATATCATATATAGCAGATATCAAACTTTAAAGAGATTTTCATTTACTCAACCTCATTTTGTTTCAAACCTGTATGACTGACTTTCTTGTGTGGAACACATTGGGGTCCAATGTTGAACCCGAGTGACTCATTATATGGACAAAACAAAAGTTTTTCAGTTTTCAAAATTGTCTCCATTTTTGTTTTCCACAGAGGAAATCAAGTCATACAAGTTTGGAACAACATACAAATTATCCTTTAACAGTTCACTCCACATGTCAGTTGATGGAATACATATGTATCAACTTTTTTTGACAAACAGTGAAAAAATATCAGTGTAAAGGAGCAGGAGTATGACTGCTTAAGTGGCTCTTACCTGTAGCATCTCCTTGTATTTCCCCATTTCCGAATGTGCTGTGATCAGACAACCTAAAACTCGAAACTTCCCACCAGGATCAGATGTCTTCCTTAACACTTTCATCCAGACATATAAAGCCTTTTCTGTGTCATTTGACTGATAAAGCTTCAGCCCCTTCTCAATCTGCTGTTTGGTTTGGTCCTGACCCATTTCTGCTACAAAGTCCCTCATAAAAATAACCATCCGTTTGGCTCTTTGGCCCACTGGTGAAGCGCAAGCGTAGTTTTTGTCTTTCACCGTCACCGTACCAAAACAAAAGACGTGTTAGTGAAAATCCACCCCGGAGATCTGCATCCACTTGCGTCACTGATCCACAACTCTCAGCTTTGGGTGCAAAGAGATGTTGAAGAAACTGGATCCACAGCATGCAAGGTCTTCAGAGTCCAGATCTCCATTGCTCATCACTTTGAAGAATCACAAAATCATGATCTCTTGACATTAAAAATACCCAACTTCAGTTGCTCCAGAAAGAAAGTTGAAGGGAAAAAATGTGACACTAAAGTAATAAGTCTCAATCCAAGGTGCTGGCAATGATCTCCCAGAATATCTACTCCCTCCATACCCGAGGGGGAGGAATTCTCTGTACACTCACTCCCACCACAAACCACCCCTTCATCTTTCTCTTCCCTCCCACTGCAGTGCTGGCGCTACAGCAGATGGCCTTGTCACTCTGGACCATGTGTCTCTGCTGGAATCCAGCTTCAGCCTCTGAAAAGATCCAAGGTCACAAAAGACGCTTATCCGTCGATCTTCATACCAAGAGTAGTGCTGTTCACCTCCACATCCACACACCGTCAAGAGGCTCAAGCACCACAACTGTGAAGGACCCTTAAGAAAGAACAACTTTAGGAAATATTCAGTCCCGAGCTACAGCAGAGGTTTGGACATCATGTGAACAAGTCTAAAAACAGCCAGATATTTCACAACGGTGAAGCAGAGCGAGTCAACGGTCCACATAGAGGGTGGCAGTTCCTGTGGGTGGGCCTTGTTAAGCCGCTCGGTGTGCCACCTCCCAGCCCCCCAGCCTTGGTGTCAGCAACTGATGCTTAGAATAGTTCACAAACTCTGACATGGTATTTGTCTTGAGTTACAGTACCGCTGCATTCTACATCAATGGGATCGAATTGTCGGGTTCTCAACTGAACCTGCTTTCTTTGGCCCTTCCTGCCCCCTTTACACCCAACTTCACGAATACAAATAGGGAGTATTTACCGCCTTGCCATTCACAAGATGGCTTGTCTTTCCAAAGATAAACATCTGGTGGTTGTAAGTCACGTCTTTGTTATAACACAATTCCTGAAATGCTAAAACACTGCCTCAGCACATTTTGGGGAAACCGAAATATATTCCTTTAAATAAATACTTGTGTCGCTTCTAGCTTTCAAGTCTATTTTAAAACAGAGCGAGAAAAAAGAAAAACACTCCTTACCAATCTTTTATTGTGTTTTTGTTCACACAAAAAAGAAAATAGCTATCATTTACTCACCCTCATGTTGTACCAAACCAGTATGACTTTCTTCTGAGAAACACAAAAAAGCAGCATTGGACCTCCCTTACTTTCATTGTATGGACGAAAATAAAACATACATTCTTAAAAATATCTTCTTTTGCCTTCTGCAGAAGAAAGACAGTCTTTCAGGTTCAGAACGACAAGAAGGAGAGGATGACATTATCATAACAAGGGGAAAACATGAAATACCTCACTTATTTTTAGCTTTTAATTCAAGAGAATGTTGAGCACAAGTACAGAGTAGAACACAGACATTTTTTTTTTTTAAACTTCAAAAAGGCAAATCATTGTAACTAACAATAATCTGAACCAGCCACAAAAGTCAACAAAATTAAGCTTGTGTCTCTGGCAGACATAAAAATGGACAGCTTTTTCATATACTCCATGGTTAGGTAAAATGTAAACAGTTGTAGCATTCAACTTTTAAACCAGCTTGAGGTGGTATAAAGTTCCTGTCCAGTCAAAAAAACACTGAGAAACAGAGATTGGAGGTGACAACTGACAACATGGAAATTACCATAAAGCAAGATAGACAAGTTGCAATATGAGCACATTTCTTGCAAACTTTCATTATGAATGTTACTTAAATGGCCCTTGACCATTGTACTAAAATATTTTTGTCAGCTGTCTTGAGGATATTTTGCACTGATAATTATTTCCTTATGTTCAGAGTATGTTGGCAGACATGAAAGACACCATATATTGCACATTATCACTCATTAGAGGGCAGTTACAATATCCAATTCACAGCTGTATACATTGCATATGTATTCAGCTAATTCAGTAAGTGTTGTGTTCAGATTAGTCCTTGTGGATTTAGATTAAAGATGCATGTTGCGGAATGTTAACAGTTAAAAAAAAAATGAATATAAATCCCTTTTGAAATCCAAATGAACCACACGTTGGAAGGTTTCACCAAAACTTGACAAACTCCAATGGTCAAGTAAACTGCAAATGACAAACATCACACATTACATTTGGCCTTCATTAACACTTTACGGTGTCCTACTGTGTAACACTTCACATGACATTATAAAGCTTGTACCACTGTATCACAGTAACAACTTCTACATGACTGCTGTCTACTGAATCAATATCACAGACCATAACTGATATCACCATAGTACATTTATCATGGTCCCACGCATTACTTGAAAATCTCAGGCCAAAACAAACTGCCAGTTTGTGAGGAGGATTTTGATTCCCTTGATTACCGAGACAACCGACGTGGCAGGATTCAACTTCAGAGTGTTTGCCTCACCTTTCTTGCATTTGTCCCTAAAAACGTAGATACATCCGTTACAGCTGGCCACTTTCCATAGAGATGGCACGCAGCTCCATACTTCAGGGAAGCGCAGCCGAGTGAAGCTGTCCAGCAGTGGGTTATAGCACACCAGAGAGTCGCCCTCCGCCACCACAAAGATAAGGTCCTTATGGGCAGTGGCATGCATGCATCCGGCAAAAGGCAGCATGTAGGGCTTGGTATGACACCTCTGTGTGGCCGTGTCAAAGCACTGGATAAGGCGAGATGGTTTGGTAAAGAAGTCCATGTCATTTTCCTCCCCACCCAAAAGGTAAATGGTGCCTCCCAAATTGACTCCAGCTGCACCTGACACGGCTGTGTCTAGTTGAGTGGTTTCTTTCCATATGTTGTCCTGTACTGTGTAGTAAATGACAGCATTGGAGAGAGTGTCCTGGAGGGTCTTGCCTCCCAGTGAGTATATGGCATCCTCTGTGGACACAGACACTAACGTGTGGTGCAGACGGTCCCGGGGCAGAGGGGCACAGCGCTCCCAGTCCATAGTGTGCATGTTGCATTTCCACATGCGTCGTGGTATGGAGCCCCCTACAACATATAGATCAGCCCCATGCTTGCAGGCAGCTGTGATCTGGTGACACAAGCTGTTCTGGCCACTTACACTGATGGTGTCGTCCTCATCACAATGAAGAGACACAGCCAATGAGTGTGTGCGTGTGTCTTCCTTCCCAATTAAGTATATGTGCACCTTTTCACCAATCTCCTAAAACACAACAAAGTCAACAATGCGCATGTGAACAATATAATAGCAATAAACAAAGGTTGTGCATTCTGCTTGTCAATATTTTAAAGTGATCAGCTACGTAAAATGATCTAGCTGGTTAACATAGATGAGATATTCTGGAAGTTTCAAGAATGATTTCTTATAATACCGTAAAGTAGGAAAACATGTATGCCATCATCTTCACGTAAAGTGTTTAGGAATTTATGGGGTTTCTTGTATAATTATAATAACTATACTATTCTATATATATATATACAGTGGGTACGGAAAGTATTCAGACCCCCTTCAATTTTTCACTCTTTGTTA